TTTTTTTTTTTTTTTTTTTTCTTGGTGTGGTGGTTTGTTTTAAGATCTACTCCATCCCCAAATTCAAGATTAGAAAGATCTCTGACTGCTTCTCAAGATCCGGAAGATTCTTTGACAGAATATATTCACCATTTAGAAATGATCCAGCAAAGACTTGGGGGGTACAACCAGGTAATAAAAGTCCACGTCTAACTAATTATTAAATTAATGTAGAGAAGACTGTCATATTCAGCTTAAAAGTTGTTGTTAGTTTCACTCTTAATAGTTAGCTGTCAGTAGTATCAGAATAAAAATTATAAGTGAAGATATCTCACAAACTTGTAAACAGAGGACCCCAGGATTGGGGCCAGTGTGACTTAATCACTAGCTGGGCCTTTTGGTCCTTTTTTTTACACTGATAGGGGACATAAAGACCTTATTTCAGCCAGGATATAATTTGTCTTGTGTTTCTTAAATATCATAACTTAAACCACTGTATATTTTAATTATAATCGATATTTTACTAAAATTTAGATGAATTCAGTGATAGCATTTCAAAATTGTGAAGCCTTGTAACAAATTGCTATCTCATTCTTATTTACATTTAGATTCCACTTCAAAGAAATCCTGACACCAGAAGATTAAACAATGAATAAAATCCCTGTGGCTTTTGCTGTGACAAGTCCATTCGAAGGAAAGATTTATTTCCTCCTTTTCCTAAGGAAAGCTCATGGTGTGGCATGGGCATTCCTCATTGCCCATGAGTCCTGCTAATTAAGTGTTCTCACCTTTACAAACAAAGCCAAATGGGGTGTCTTCCACGTAGTCTCTCAGTGTCTCAGTTCCTCACCCTCATGAGGCCACAAGCACTTGGGTTGCGGGCAATGGGCGTGTCTTCTGTGCCTGTTGGTGGAGCCACTTGTGTGCCTCCAAGAAGGGTAAGCAGAGAATGGCTTCCTGTTGTTTATTTTCTTTCTTTCTTTTTTTTTTTTTTTTTAAAGATGACCGGTAAGGGGATCTTAACCCTTGACTTGGTGTTGTCAGCACCACGCTCAGCCAGTGAGCGAACTGGCCATACCTATATGGGATCCGAACCCGGGGCCTTGGTGTTATCAGCACCGCACTCTCCCGAGTGAGCCACGGGCCGGCCCTGTTGTTTATTTTCTTAAAGTGTACAGATGGAAATTTTGTTTAAAAATGAAAATACACAAAAAGAAGGAATAAAACTTAAGCACTATTTTGTTTGTGAATAGCCCTTGTATTTTTAGTTTTATCTAGTTTGCTTTTCTCACTAGCAAAACAAAACAAAACAAAACACAGACTTGGAATTTATGTCAAACTCCTGGAAGTCAAAAATTTTCAGGGGAATGCAAAGCATTCTTCACTTAGTAAAGACAAGTAGCCACTTGCGTATTGCTCAATCTTACTTGGATTCTTATTTTATTTTTTTAAAATGCTGCCACTGTGTATCTGCTTCTCATGACTATGGTCTGAGTTTTTCTCATGCTCACTTATACCATGTGGTAATATCCGGCCAAGTATCCTTTACCAAAAGTACTGTATGGGTATAACTATCTCAGTATGTTTTTACGATCTTTGAGCATGATATTTATTTGAACATATTTATTCTGCTGCACTTAGTTTTTTTTTTTTTTTTTTTAAAGATGACCGGTAAGGAGATCTCAACCCTTGGCTTGGTGTTGTCAGCACCATGCTCAGCCAGTGAGCAAACCGGCCATCCCTATATAGGATCTGAACCCGTGGCCTTGGTGTTATCAGCACCACACTCCACCGAGTGAGCCACGGGCCGGCCTTGCGCTTAGGTTTTAATATAAAACAACTTTTTCTAAATTGCTACCTAACTTGTTTTGGTGATGGATTTTTCTTTCAACCTTCCACACTGACTCATGTCTGTGTTTTCTGAGTATTAGTCAGCACTCAGGTCATCTTTTTCAAGAGCTCTTCACTCTTCTGCCTGATGTTACTGAAGCCAAAATCCTAACCAGGCCCAGGAGCCCAAGAAATGTCTCTTCATTTTCAGCGTCCAGAAGAATAATAATTGAAATTATCAAATACTGAAAAAATAAATACCCAGGTATACCAGTGTTGGGCTAAAAAGGGGGTGGGTTCATTTAAAGCTACCAGCGGAGGTGACCATCACACCAGCCTGTTCCCATGGAAGTTAATAATTAAAAAGAAAGAGGCATTCACCCTGCCCTTTATGGAGAAACAGTAGGTCATTTTTGTTGATAAGGGAAAATTCTTTACAGAAAAATGCCATCCAGTTACTATAGAGGGAATGACACAGAGAACCCCCCTTCTGCAACCCCTGTTGAAATGATCAATTCAGGTTAGGTTCAGCAATAGATGCTAAAACCAAGGTGAAATTTCACTTTTACAGTGCAGAGATCTGGTAGGGTCTACCTTGACCGGGGCATCCAGCTAATCATAACAGACGGCCTGTGTTGAGTGCTTCCTGGTGAGGTGCCAAGTGACACTTACAAAAAAGCAGCGCCTGTGAGGTTCTCTTGCCAAAAACGTTTCCCCCAGGCGCAACCAGGGCCGACCTTCACATCTGACTCTTGGTTTACAGATGGAGGAACAGATTAAAGGAAACCAGGAGAGAAAAGACAAACGTGGTACATTCTGCAGTAGCTGGGCTTGTGTCATCAAGCAGATGTTAGTGGGAAAACAAAAGTGAGCAGCTGGTTTTAGGTTAAAAGGAACTAAGGAGACGTGACCAAGTGCAATGTGTGAAATTTGTTTGGCCCTAAATCTGAGAGTGCAACTATCAAGACATTTTTGGGGGTAATTGGTTAAATTTGAATCTGTACTGGATAGTAGATTTTAGGGGAATTATTGTTACTTTTTTTAGGTATAATAATGGTTATATAAGAGAATGCTTCTTAGGGATTATATGCTGAATTACTTAAGGATAAAGAGCCTTAACATATACAATTTGCTTTGTAATGGTTCAGTTAAAAAAATGTATACAGACACGCATTCACACATGTATATGGATTAAGTAAACATGGAAAAATCTTTTTAAAATATTAAATCTAGTTAGTGAGTATATACGGTTGTTTATTGTTTGAAAATTTTTATAGTGAAAGTTGGGGAAAAAAATACATCACGATCAACTAGTTTGTCCCAGGAATGTCTTAATCAAATACAGGATGTTGTATCAGTCAGAGTCCAGGAAGGAAAACAGAAATCACTCTAGGCTCTCAGACACGGGGGATTTAATACTAGGATTTGGTTACTCCAAGGGTGGAAGAGCTGAGACGTGAAGTGGCATGGCGAGGCAGCCAGACAGCCAGCTGGGGATGATCGTGTTGGCCTGGAGGAGCTGAACCTGCAGGGGAGATGCATCAGCTGCCGTAGTGAAAGGGGAAGGGCCCCCTTTTCCCTCCTGCCCTTCTATTCACCATAGCCAGAGGAGGGAGCTTGGCACGGGGGCCTCGCAGAAGCCAGCACCCTTGTGCAGTGCGGATAGCAGACACCAGCCCAGCCCACCCCTCTGGCCACCCAGCGTCTGTTCTCACCTTCCTACCCATATTCAGTTACTAAAATGTAGTGAAGTGCACTGCGTGGCACGGGGCAGGTGTTCTTCATTAGAAGAGCTCTGGTCCTCTCTATGAGGCCAGGAGATGTCGTATCTCAACAACCCAGGCTCTCCAGGTGACACAAACACTTCTCGTTTAGGACTGGGTCAGCCCCTTGTGCTTTGGTGACCTGAGAACTAGTGAGTAAAGTTAATGCACCATCAGCATGCCTTACAGAATAGGGGGGTGGAAAGGGGAGTGTTTAGTGCACACATTAAAGTGAGGAGTGCTACAGTCTTGCTTCTGTAACTAGTCACGAGCTTCTAGTTGACATTCATCACCTTCTCCTTCCATCTTCTAGTCCTTGTTTTGTGGCCCTCAGCCAGTACTTTGGTTACTTAGGTGACCTAAACCTTCCTTCCTGAAAGATTGGAGACCTTAATGGTCTTGCCTTTAGAGGACTTCCTTTTTTCTTCCTTTGTGATTGAACTTGAAAGTACTAAGTACCAAGAGGTGCCCTATAAAGACACTACAGATGCAGATTTTGTCTTCATTGTGTACTCAGTAGCTCCAGCTAGTACAGTAACCCCTGCACATTGATGAGTTCAGACAGTCTCAACTGCTAGTTCAAAGGGACCACTGTCCCATTTCAGGGAAGCAGTCTTCCCTTGGGACAACAGAGATAAGTCTTAGGATTGGGAGCAAAAATTCCTTCAGGGGTTATTTGGCATAACTGTAAGAAGGGCCATTCCTGTCTTCAGCCTTTGGGTTCCCAGGTGATGTATTCAGCTGTGAGAAAAGTGGCACTGAGTACGAGGACTGTTCAAAGCACCCGTCACATTCTGTGTGATAGCATTCCATACAGATAGGGTGTTGTCTTTAATCTGGCATCATAAATGAGCCTTCAGGAGGCCTTTGTACCATCCATTAGATGAGCTACTTCTGGACAGTGGGGTTTATAAAATTAGGGCATTCCGTGGCCATAAGCCTAGTGCCACACTTGTTATGACGAGTTTTCTGGTTCAAAGCAATGATGGTGAGTAAGGAATTTGGGCCATCTACAGATGAGTTTCTGGCAGGAAAAGTGAATCCATATACAGAATAGGGGTGGATAGATACGGGGGTACAGCATAGCTGGAGAAACTGCATGGTAGTCTGAGCCACCTGTTCCTGCAATCTACCTTTACCTACCTGGCCTGCTTGAGCCTTGTCTTGTGTCAGTTTCCAACACCATTCTCTGATGCCAATGGGTATCCTGTAGTTCAATTCTGACATTACCTGGAGTTAGCACAGACCCCATAGGTTAAGAACTCAGTCCCACCAGACTGCCTCCACTTCAGATGACAGCCACAAGGGGGGTCCCCACACCACCCACAACTCTGCCCAGCCAACTGCAAATTTGGGGGTTCCCACAGCCTCCCCTCAGTTGTGATAATTTATGAGAATGACTCAGGAAAGCGCTGTATTTAGGATTACCGTTTTATTATAAAGGATACAACTCAGGAACAGCCATGGGACAGATGCGTAGAACAGGCGTGGGGGTGGTGAGCACAGAGCCTCGTGTCCCCAGCAGGCATGCCTCCATCCCAGCACAGCTGTGTTTGCTGACCTGGATGCTCCTTGAGCCTCATTCAAGAATTTTCATTGAGGCTTCATCATATTGTCATGACTGACTAGATTATTGGCCACATGACTGAACTCAACCTCCAGCCCCCTCCCCTCTCCAGAGGTTTGGGGGTGGGACCGAAATCCCAATCCTCTAATTACGTGTTTGGTTTCCCTGGTAACTAGCCCCCATCCTGAAGCGGCCCCACCATGAGTTAACCTCATTAGCATAAATTCAGGTATAGTCAAAAGGGGCTCATCATAACAAAAGATGCTATAGAGCGGGAAATTCTAAGTTTTAGGAGCTCCATGCTGGGAACCAGGGGTACAGACCAAATATGTGTATATTTATGGTGGAACATGTATGAGCACTTTCACGAGATAACAAAAGTGCTCCTACAGCGCCTGCCTAGCTCGATAGCTTAGGAGCCAGACAGCGCCAGTGCATGGCAGGCAATTTGAGCTGCATAGTAATTGGTATTCCATGGACAGGTAGGTGTTCTCTGCCAGAACCCAAGAACAAGTCAGATGTTGCTTTTCAAATGGAGAATGAGTTATTAGCAGAAGGCAGCAAAGCTTTGCTTCAGAGCCGTAGGGGTTTGCCCTAATGGGACTGTACAGTTGGCACTGGCACTGTCCAGGCATTCTCTTTGAAATTTCCAGGTCATAAGGCCTGAGAAGCAGGTCAGCTTGCATCAAAGCTGCAGGCCTTTTGTTGCCCAGTTCCCACTTTAACAGCGTGTGGGTTCCTTAATAAATGTATAGGAGCAACACACACAAATATGGTATATGTTGTATTCAAAATCCAGAGAACACCACAAAAAATCCAGACAGGCCTTTGCC